GGGTTGCTACCCTTCAAAAATTGGATAAATTAGTCACAAACGGGAATAATTTACAATTTCAAATTGACAAACTTACTGACGGACTATCGAAAAAACTGACAAAAATTTCAGATGATTCAAAAAAGTTTTCAAAATATGAAAAATCCATAGGTAAAGCTTTCAATGAAACAGAATTTAGAATTCATAATTTAGAGTCTCTTGTAGGAGACATAAAAAATAAAATTCTCAGTAGTGAACGGAATCAGGGGAGTATGATGGTTAAAATTTATAGAATCACAGACGATGAAGAGGAGGTTGATCAAGATGATTGATAATGTTTTGTTTGCATATCAATGAGTATCTGGATCGTTGATAATAGTCTAAAATAGTTGAAAAAGAAGGATAGAAAAGTAAAAGGGTTGAGGGAAAAGCCGGAAACGTGGTATTTTGATGATCATTTAGGTTTCCAAAAAGAATTTACAAATTAGGTGTTCCTTGCGGTCTACTCCTAATGGATGCCATATAGTCAAAGGGCCCTGACTGCACCCATTAGAACTACACCAAAAGATGACAACTAAGTACTAGAGTACTAAGTTGGGTAGAAATACGCTAGTTCATAAATGTATCCTTTTGGTACTTATATGATGAAATCTGGCGAATTTCTACAGAATTGAGTTCAAAATACTGATAAAAAATAGAAAAAAAAAAAAACTATATGAATGATTCATGTTGAGAATCGCTCGAGTTATTTGTCAATTGCAAATAACTCGTTATTTTCCTCATTAATTCAGATTAATGAGAAATTACTGAAATTAGTAAAATTGTCGAAATATGTAGTGAGAAAAGAAGAAATGTTCAAATGCTCATACTAGGTAGCAAAATAATAAATTTATACTTTTTGTTGTTGTTATATGCTGCCAGGTTACTGAATGTAATGATTATATTTGTTTTGAAAACATCGAACGAAGACCAAGTTGATTGTAGAGGATATTTTTTTAATTTTTTTCTGAGAACCTGTACTGATCTTCAATAGAATGAAATCATTGTAGTATTTTAAGTAAGGGTAGATAGGGTTAGTTGAAGAAATAAAAAGGGGTGTAATTGATCAATTACCACATAGAAATATTTATGTTAGTTGTTAATCACATCAAACAAGAGAAACTTCGATTGAAAAGTTACAAAATTTTTTCTTCTAAGAACTTACTTGGTGTATATTTCCTGTTACATGTTCAACAAGAGATGAGCCATCACAACGGATTCTGGGACATACACTCACGAAGGAGAGAGCCTAAAGAGATGAAGCCAATGCATCCTATGCTCCTATCCCCATGCCACGCCCAGAGGTCCCATACTGCGAATGGGAGATCTAAGAAGTGACCATGCAAGGACAACACAGAAAACCTCTGTTTGCTGAGACGGAAACCCACCCAGTCGTTTATACTTTGGGAAGTATAATCGTACGAATATGGCACCTGAGTGAAGTTCAATAACCTGGTTGATGAGTCTGCGAAGAAGACGGAAAAAGGGACAGTGGTACCTTCATACCTTACGAAAATCCTGTAGGGTGAACTGTCACTGCCCGCTGCTCACCAGGAGTCAGATCACCTTCACAACCTACGAGACACAAAGCGTCAAGTCGCAGCAATGTAGAAGTTACCAGCAGACCAAGTAATCCACATTGATCATGTGGAGATCATGTTCCTCAGCAAGGCACTTCACTGCGGTTCCCAGGACTCCCATCGATGAGGAACCAAGAAGGCAAAGAGTATACTTTGGAGACGTCGGAGGCTTATTATATTATATTATATTATAATATTTCTTGTGACTGTTGTAAGTGGACAGGGCTGGACTTAGTTTTTTGAGCCCCTTGACTTATCTTGTGAGTGGACAGAGCGGGACTTAATTTTTCAAGCCCCTTGACTTATGTTGTGATGGACTCAAATGAAAGACATTAGTTTTTTTTTATATTATCTTTTTTTTATTATTCATTGATAGACCTTGGTTTTCATTCATTGATTTTTTTTCTTTTTTTTTTTTCATCTGCTCTCAATTTTTAGGTAACCTCAAAGCTGAGGGGCCAGCTTTTCCATGGTGGGGGGAAATATGTCAAGATATAATGATCATTCGTATTTTATTCAGTTATTTTAAATTCCAATTTTTAGTCTTTTCCCAGTAAATATATTATTCATAGCTAATTTTACATTTCCGGAAGACAGTTCAGTCGATCGTAGTTGCCAGGAAATCAGGAATCCAATTTCAATCAGTATTATTTTGATTTGCAATCTTTTTACCAGGTCGCTGGCACCTATGATCGGGTAAATTATCGCTGACGGAGTATTTTTCGAAACAAGGAATATCGAGTTTGATGAAAAAGCCGGCATTACGATTAGGGATCGCGAGTAGTGCGATCACGCGTTTCATTCTTGAAGTAAGTTGAGTTTTTCGACACACCGCGCCCCTCGAGTTCCACCCCCATGGAGAAGCACGCTCTTTGGTGAGTACATGATTTCTATGTTATATTTATGTTTCATTTTTATATTACCTCATATACTATGTGTTCTGGTTATTTTGTCTCGTTGACGCTCGACATCTTTTGTTTTTGTATTTTTCACTCATTTTTGTAGTCCTTCAATTTACACCCCAATGTGAGCTTATGATTGAATAAAAATTCATGAATTTGTTAAGTTGAATCTAGCCCCATTATTCTGCTGCCAAGCGAGTAACCCCTCACTGGTCATAGGTTTGAATGTCTCGGGAAGGATTATGGGTACTTACAATTCTACCCCTAGAGATTTAAACGTGACAATATCATGGGTTCCTCCTATTATGTGCTATTCAACGACAGGACTCTTACATCTTTTTGATAGCTTGATTATAATTGGTGACTTGACAACCTTGCTTCGTGAGTGGGAATGGAAGATTATCTGACCAATAACGAAATAGCATAACAGCTGACGTCACCTTTCATTCGACGTATCGCCTAATGGTGGATATGACGGTACGTTTGAAATGAGCTCCGAAATTCAACAATTTTGAACAACGCATACACTCATTATTTACATAAAAAAAGTGAGAGAAGTGTTGCAAAAATTAATTTAGGTCCCTAACAAGACAGTGGAGTAAGTGAATGCCAATATTTCATTATGAGTCCACAACACACGGCCTGCTGATGCAAATGATTTACTTGTGCCTCGCTATAGATTAGTCAAAACTGAGAAAAATTCGTTGAACTTTAAGCTTTACAATAAATTACCAAATCAGGTTTAATCTATGAATGAAATATGCTTCAAAACTACTGTGAAGAAACAACTTCTCAGATATTGTTTTTATTCGACTGATGCATTTAATCACACTTCAATTTTATGAATTTTGTGTACTTGTGATACGATCGAGAATGCTATCTTGTGATGTTATGTTTGTTTTATTTTTGTATTATTCTCATTGTGTATTTCAACATTCTGTTCGTTTGTCTTTATATAATATTTTAATACATCTGTGCTTTGAAACTGACTTGCTATAAAACATTTTTGTATGAGTTACATAGTCAAATAAATCAATCTATCTATCCCCCATTCATAGAAATTTGGCATTCTGGTTGCCAACATTTCAGAACAAAATTCAATTCATACATGATTCAAATTTCACATAACTGAAAACATTCCTGCCATTCAAATGATAGTTTCTCTTCCTGGTCCCGGTCAACAAAAATCTGTAATATTTTATTTGTATTTCGTTTCAAGCTGATGTTTTTAGTAATTATGATTTCAAAACATGAGAATGTATCGTTAATTATTACGATTACGATTTAATTTACATTTGACACTTTTGAAGCCAACCACACAATACGAAATGCCTAACCCTTGAATATTTGGTCAACTATGACTTAAGAGTTTATCAAATTGATCGTTCGCTATTCTGGTTGTCAAAAGAAACCAATCAGATTCGATTCGCGTCTTATTTCAAGTTGACGTTATTAGTTAATATCATAGTGGAAGGAGAAGATGGTGTGCCTACGCGCATATTATGTGACGTCATATGGGATACCCATATCAGCTGCTAGTCACAGACATTACCGTTGCCATGGGCGTGCGCAATGAATTCAATCACGTTTATTGAAATTTCTATGAGTTTCTCGATCTGTTTAGAAATAAGTCAATTTATATAAACAGGTACCTATTCCTTCAATTTTACTATTTCATTGATTCTGGAGATTGTGACGTTGAGGTAATTCGCAATCGCAAATAGCAAAAACATACGAATTATCATGCATTGCCAATTCCATCTGAATGATCCACTACTGTGTCGATTCTGACAGATTCAAATTCAGCAGTTAACGACGTTGACGTTGCTTCTGCTCCGACATCGACAACAGGAGTATCAATTTTTGCCGTTTTGTTATTCAAATATTTGCTGCAATTTATATTTTGTGAGAAATTAAGAGTTTTGAATTCATTTTCAATTATTTCTGACTTGATATTCGACGGAAGATGTTCTGTAGGAATGGCATCTTGTTTCAAATATTTGTGATTTTTTGTCAAAAACCGTACTTTTGCAGTTGTTTGGGAACATTCTGCATGGAAATACGTGCTGTAATATGAATGTGATGAAAATATGATAGGAGAATACTTTGGAATGAGGATATAAGGAATATAAGGTAGGTACCATTATTTGAGTTTATAATTTTGTCGGCAGCAAGCTCCCATCGTTTCATTAGGTCTCCATTCTTGGAAAAGCAGAAAAATTCAAAATCTGTGCCTTTTGTATGTTAGTTGGAATTTCCATAACCAGGAAGGAAACAGGGCATTTCGAAATTATATAATACAATTTTAGTACTTATATAATATCTGAAGTTCGAGACATCAATCACGAAAACAAATAATAGCAATGACAGTTATATTCCAGCTGACGTCATGCGCAGAACAAGACGAGTTTGAGCTTTCTGTTGAGCACACCATCTTCTCCTTCCACTATAGTTAATATGATTATAAACATGCAGGTGAATCACTATCAATGAACCGTACCTTTAAACCATGTAATTCCGCTTGAGTGAGATGTATGTGGGCCCTGTCAGGTGGTATTGGAGCGTCTTGACCTGTTATCAAATGAGAATTTCCCAACAGACAGTGTACATATCGCTCTAGAACATACCATAACATCTCAGTAAAGAACGGATACCGAAATTTGTATGGTACCTAAAACAGAGAGATATTACAATACACTGGGTGATCCACCTAATTCATTCATAAGGGGTTCATAGAGAACCTAAAGAGGATACATCAACGTGAAATTTCGTTTTCAGAACCAGAAATGTTTTTCAAATGAAACACCCTGTATATTTCTGCATATTTCAATTCTACGTGAAATTTCAGAACAATGGGCCTCTCCAGTCATTTCTAGAAAAAATATTTCTTGAAATATATGGCTCTGGAATACTTTGACATAATTTTTTCTGATTTTTTTTCTTCAATTTATCGTACAAAAAATTATTGAAAACGCCAAAATCAGCGAGCGAATTCAAACGATCAAACATGGCCGCGAAATGTGTGACGTCAGGGCGCGAGCAATTTGCATTGGTCATTTCTTCTTGCGGGTACCAATAAAATGCACGATGGACTTGACAGTGTTGCCAATCTGGACAGAAAGCTGGGATTAGTCGGATATTCATTCCTCCAGTTTTTTCATTTCAGCAAAACATTTAGATAACTCAACTAATAGCTACTGAAAATTCGTGGTGATAACAATTTGCATTGCATGATTAGTTAGGTAGTTGATTGATTTCTGTTGGAGAATTATTCAAAATTGTAAGTGAAATTTCATTTTGTATTGAATTACAGTGCAGATATTCATGACATTCAGTTTCAAAACCCTTTCAGTGAAGTACTCTCAAGTTTAGGTGGGTACTCACCTATTGTAACTATCTACCATAGGGAAAGAAACAAATTATGAATCAATTAATACTTTTTATCATTGATTTTTTTCAAATGGGACACATTTTTCAGAAAAATTCAATAACTTTTGAACCATCAACAATTTTATAACAACAAATACCGTTAGTTTGATTACAAATGACCGCCCCTACCGTCCCACTCGGAGGTCCCACTTCTTTTGATCCATTACTTATTGAACACCCTGTATATTTTCGATATTTCATTTTCTCAAGAAAATTTTACAGATGGTGACTAACTGTAAAGTATGTATTATTAAATAATGAGTGCTAACATTTTCACTCTCATTAGTCTCATTGCAAGACATCATTGCGATGTTACAGTGCTGCCTGGAACTGTTGAAAAGTTATATCAATGAATAAATTCATCTAGTTCAATCATTGAACGGGTGGTGAAGGATATTGAAGACGACAGAATTTTTGACACTAGAGATGCGTTTGGAGTAGATTGGAAGTAAAAATTCCAAAAGTCCCCGAACTTACAAGGTGAGCCAAAGTCCCTTTTTTATTTATCGTTCATATCTGAAAAACGGAGTCACAGCAAAAAAGTCAATCTATTCAAAATTTTCGCAAAGGATTTGATCATCTTCAAAATGTTGTGTCACATTATTATGCGTTATTTATATACAGGGTGCTTCTTAATGACATGCTAATATTCAAGGGGGCGATTCTTGGACCCATTTCAAGAATAACACTTTATTTGAGCGTGTAATCGTGTATGTTGTAAGCGTCCTAATTTTTGAGATGAAGGGTTCAAAGTTGAGAATATGCATAGATTCTTTTCTTGTTCACCCTGTATAGCTTTTCGTGATGGCAAAATTCAGTCTGCTATGTAACTGAAACGGTGTAAATTTCAAAATGTTAGATACTGTAATAGTTGTCCAAAATGGAGTACTCAGCTTAGCATTTACATCAAAATTTCAAGTCTGGTATCGTCTTTCCGTTTTTTATCGAAAACGGAGCGTCATATCGAGTATCAACAAGAGGATTTTTTTTGCTCACTTTTGAGTAAAATATGAACAATAATATCCCCCCAACGGCGCCATTTGTAGAGAAAATGAATATTATTACATTATGAAAATCTAAGGAGCCAAAATATTTTTCATCAAATTTAGAATCCCGTACGTGTTCAATACCGATGAAATACGTATCAAAATGTTTGAAAAAACTTTCATTATTATTTATATGGACATATTCATCAAATTCGGTGGAATTTGGAAAAACGATGATATCTCGAAATGCGTAACACTTTGTATAAGGTATACACTCAGTTCCAAAAAAAGTGACGCACTTGATATTTGACCTATCTTCTTAAAAAACAAAAACAAAAAATAGTAGGCCGATTTTTATTTTTTTTTATTTGTTGGTAGGTAATGCATTTGTCTTAAAAAAAATGAAGAGGTGAAAACTTTTTCAAAGCCTCCTTGATGGTGGTGGAATAACTCGAACCATGATTTATTCTTAATTTTTTACTCACCCTGTGTGTTAATTGAGTAATGGTATACAAAGTGCTACCACCCTATACGAAAGAGGCTTCATTTGCGAGCATTTTGTTTTTCCAATCATTTATTTATCTCTAAAATTTTCCGAATTACAGCTTTTTTGCTGATACCTTACGCTTATCCCACAAATTAAATTTATTGAAGGATCAGAGTACTCAAAATTGATTGGGTTGTACTCTGGTAGGATCACATTGTCTTTAAAAAACAAATGCCGTTACCATAGCAACTAATTTGTTGTATGCCTCCATATTTGACAATTTGTCGTTGTGTCATTGAATAAGTGTCTTGTTTTATTGACTAAAATTACATAAAATGCCTCAAATTAATCCTGAACAAGTAGCAACATTACTTGCGTTAGTAAACGATGGGCGTAGTAAACGTTACGCCGCTCGTGCAGTGGGAGTTCATGAAGCAGCTGCTCGTAGAGCAATCCACAAATACGAACAAACAGGAAGCACCGCTCGGAGGGTCGGTTCTGGTCGCCCCCGAAAAACTTCTCCAAGAGATGATCGCTTCTTGAGATTGCGGATTTTACGGAATCGATCAAATACTGCAGTAAATGTTCAGCAAGATCTTCGCCAAATTCGTGATGTTGCAGTAAGTAAGCAGATGGTATGTAGACGTCTAAAAGAAGTCAATTTAAATGCTAGGAGACCTTCAAAAGGTCCCAAATTATTGCCCGAACATCGTGCTGCTAGAAGAAATTTTGTTGAAAATTATGGACAGTGGAATATTCCTGAATGGTCGAATGTCTTGTTTACGGATGAGTCAAGGTTTTGCCTTAACATGGTGGATGGAAGAAAACGAGTGTGGAGAAGAACTGGTGAACGGTTTAATCAAAATTTAATAACAGAATGCGAAAGTTTTAATGGTAGGTCCGTTATGGTGTGGGGAGGGATTTCAATGAATAGAAAGACACCTCTTCATGTTTTTCCGGTGATACAGTCGATGAGCAGTATGTCTTACCTTATGCAGAGTTAGTGGGCAATAATTTTATATTGACGCAGGATAATGCCCGACTACACACCGCAGCAATAGTGCGAAACTTCTTAGCTGTAATTCGGAAAATTGTAGAGATAAATCAATGAATAAAAAAACGAAATGCTCGCAAAAGAAGCCCTCTTTCGTATAGAGGGTAAGCACTTTCTATGCCATTACTCAATTAACACACAGGGTGAGTCAAAAATTAAGAATAAATCATGGTTCGAGTTATTCCACCACCATCAAGGAGGCTTTGAAAAAATCTTCACCTCTTCATTTTTTTTTTCAATTACCTACCAAACAAATATAAAAAAATCGGCCTACTATTTTTTTTTTCAAGAAGATAGGTCAAATATCAAGTGCGTCACTTTTTTTGGAACTGAGTGTATATGGTTGAATATGTTCAAAATAATGTTCTTACTCACCCGTTTTCAGATATACGTCGGTGAACCAAACACCCTTTTATAATCGTTGTACAACCTGAATGGAATAATAAAATTATATCGACTTACTTTTGTAGCATCCTCAACTTGGGCAATTTTCAACTGTTTATCAATTCCATATGAGTGAAGAAAATTTCCACCGAAAACCAGAGAGTCTTCTGGAGTATATACTGCGTGTATCCATCCAGTAGGTATGAAAAATGTATTTCCTTCATGCAGAACTATTCTTGCACACTTTTCAACGGTATCACCAAAAAAAATATCGGACTGTTTCCCAGAGAGGACCCAGCGTTCGTAGAGATTTAAATTATGTTCCGTAGGAGGTATTAACCAAAACACTTTACCACCTGAAAAAAAAATTAAAGGGGTGATTTGGGTCCACACTTCCGTGTGCATTATCTATCAATGATAAGCAGGATGTTTGCTATAAGTGATATCATAATTATTTTTTTCTACGATCGTACAAAAAGTTACAACTTCATGCACTCTTTAGTGTGCAAAAAGTTTAACTAACAAAAAGTAATTTCCTTTTTGCACTAGGACAACAATACTTTGATTCTATATTGATATTAATTATTCCTCAAAATTAGAACTATTACTGGCAATAAAGTTTATCCATCAAGTAGCTTATGGTAAATTGCTCTAGCTGCGATATTAAAATTGGAACTATAGTTTTTATTCATTCTATATATACAGGGTGGCATCCCAATATTTCAAACACTGAGAAAGCTCGACGTGTACTATCGAATGGCACTAATAAAAAAAAATTAGGGATCAAAATGAAATTTGAGGTTAGACCCTTTTTTCCACCCAGAGTTCTACACTGTAGTAAATCTGACATCACCTCTGTTCATATTTCCATGCGGTAGGCACAATCACGCGGAGTTCAATCATCTAAATTGTTTTAAAGTGGCGTACTTGATTTTTTTCCCGTATTTTGTTCAATTTTTGGGATGACATTTCTCGTTATTAGAAGAAATAGAAACAAATCTGATATCATGGGAATATTCCTCAGACTGTATCATATTAATGTGCTGAATATGTGCACTTATTTCAAAAAAAACACCTTGTATGTTAATATTTTTATTTATTTAAATAATAAGTCTGTGCGTTGTTCGAAATTGTTGAATTTCAGAGCTCATTTCAAATGAACCTTCATGGATGCCATTTGGCGATACGTAGAATAAATGGTGAGGTCCGTTTTTTTTGCTGTTTCGTTATTGGTCAGATAATCTTCCATTTCCACACATGAAGCAAGGTTGTCAAGTCACCAATTATGATCAAGTTATCAAAAAGATGGAGTTCTGTTGTTGAATAAAACATAATAGGACGAACTCATGACATTATAGTTCATTCTTGACTCTTTCGAGCAACCAGCATGTCCAAATATCTCTCATTCTCCATAAAGAAATATCATGTAAATGTTGGAGACTCGGCAACATTGTGCTGAATGCTGATAACTGAGAAGACCACGCCCATAAGTCGTGCGCCGTGTTGTCACGTTCACGTTAATAAAATCTCATTTTATCGACAACGAATGACGTATCGCTCGGTGCTTATGATTCAATAATTCTTAAAAAATATGACATTGAAAGGTATTTGAGGGATGATCTATTTAAGAAATGAAAAAAAAAATAGCCCACTCGCCTATTCCTCGAGTCCTGTGATAGTTAAAAACATGATTCAAAAACGTATATTAACAAATTCTCATTTTACCGACTACGAATGACGTATTGCTCGGCGCTTATGATTCAATAGCACCTCATACTGAGTCCAACTCTATTTTCACAGACATTAACTAGAAAACGAGTAGAATTATCAATTTTCTTTGGAGGGTTGCATTTAATGGCAACATCCGAGTCATTCGTTTTCGAGAAAATAGGTATGTTCTCTTTTACACCACATTTTCATCATTGATGGAAGTGATGTCACTCTCTGAGGCACCTAATTGTTGGAATCCACAGTGTTGAAAAAAAAAACGCAGTTATTTGACATGATAATCACAACTATTTTTTCCATTATTTATGTTTCTTTTGAGCAGACATACTATTCATTCCAAATATTTTGACTCAACATTCTGCTGAAATTGCTGACTATCAAAATGTAGTGTGGCTTCAGTAAACTGTCATTATTTTAGAGGGGGAAGGAATGTCACATTTATGTCCGTTGTTTTATCAAAAATAAATTAATAATATTATTATTAATAGCAGAAAATGTCTGTTATTGAAATAATTGAAGCTGAGAATAATTTCTAGTTCAGATGAACGAGAAACTATACATAAGTGACAACCTGATAACAGATATAGTTCATCAGCTGATCAACTGCTTCTGATTACTTATGAAAACCATGGAAACAGGTTCCAAATTACAACACAGTATTTTTGATTTTATATTTCGGATTTTCAGCGGAGTCAGTGGATTTACTGACAGTTGACAGTACTGACCAGTTGAATTCGGAATATAGCCCAAATGAGAGGCAGACAAAAACGTATTGCACATTGCACACGAGCAAGATAGCTGGATGCGCTCATAGTGGAAGGAGAAGATGGTGTGCTCAACAGAAAGCTCAAACTCGTCTTGTTCTGCGCATGACGTCAACTGGGATATAACTGTCATTGTTATTTGTTTTCGTGATTGATGTCTCGGACTTCAGATATTATATAAATACTAAAATTGAATGAAATACTTTCGAAATGCCTACTTGTTTCGTTTCTGGTTATGGAAATTCCAACTAACATACAAAAGGCACAGATATTGAATTTTTCTGCTTTTCCAAGAATGGAGACCTAATGAAACGATGGGAGCTTGCTGCCGACAGAATATAAACTCAAATAATGGTACCTCCTTGTATTCCTTATATCCTTATTCCAAAGTATTCACCTATCATATTATCATCACATTCATATTACAGCACGTATTTCTTCAGAACATTTCCATGCAAAATGTTCCCAAACAAGTGCGAAAGTACGGTTCTTGAATTACACACCTCCAAAAAATCACAAATATTTGAAACAAGATGCCATTCCTACAGAACATCTTCTGAATATCATGTCAGAAATAATCGAAAATGAATTCAAAACTCTTAATTTTTCACAAAATATAAATTGCAGCAAAGATTTGAATGGCACAACGGCAAAAATTGATACTCCTGTTGTCGATGTCAGAGCAGAAGCAACGTCAACGTCGTTAACTGCTGAATTTGAATCTGTCAAAATCGACACAGTAGTGGATCATTCAGATGGGATTGGCAATGCATGATAATTCGTATGTTTTTGCTATTTGCGATTGCAAATTACCTCAACGTCACAATCTCCAGAATCAATGAAATAGTAAAATCAAAGGAATAGGTACCTATTTATATGAATTGAATTATTTCTGAACTTATAGAAATTTCAATAAACACGATTGAATTCATTGCGCACGCCCATGGCAACGGTATCTGTCTGTGACTAGCAGCTGATATTGGTATCCCAGATGACGTCACATAATATGCGCGTAGGCTAGGCACACTATCTTCTCCTTCCACTATGGATGCGCTAGTGAATTTTGGCAGCGGAAAATTTGCCTAAAAAGGTGAGTTTCCAATGCAGCGATTCTTTTTTACGCCTCGCGCGTCTTGAAATCTGATTGGTAACGCTGATTTTGAAAAATATTTGACACGATGAAGTTAAAATATTTCAACTTCCTGGCGTTGCTGCTTTGTGCTGACGACCTTGAAATGTCATTTACCTAAGATTATGTTCAGACATGTTTTCAACCCTTTTAACACAAGGTTTTTTCATGAAAATTAAGAAATGTTGAATGCAACTTCATTAACCCCAATTTCTGATCTAATGGTTAGTACATAATTGCAGAATCACTGAAGTAGTTACCTACCGTACCTCACGTACCTACCGAATTATCTCATTTTCACTATGCTATTTTCGTTTTTGATTGAATTTCTGATGCAGCCATTTTCCTATATTTTCAGTATTCTAATGCAGATTTTCTTACATAAAAACTTCAACAAGTGCGACAGTGATAGATGATTTCATAGGGAACTAAAAAAAATAATAAAAAGCAGTGCAGCAATTAATTCTCAATTACGCGTCACCAATCAGACTGAGTGACGCGAAAAGCAAAAAAAGCTGCATTGGGAACTCATCTTAAAACGAATGAATGTTTGAAGCGTTCAAATTATCTGAAATATTTTGAGGCATCAAAATGACGATTTTAGTGAACTTCGAAAACATTCAAGATTAGGAAACAGTGAGACTTACCTTTCAGGATGTGATACCAAACAGATGTCCCACCAAAATCTACGTGGAAATCTGTATAGCAACCTTTAACCGACATAAGGCAGTACTTTTGAACTTTGGGGTATTTCATAACGTCGAGAGCATTCGTTGCCTCTATTTGACTTTCCTTCAAATGTCTAGGCCAAACACAGTCAACCCAATCAACTTGCCTAAAAATAAACAAAAATATCGCTTACTTATTCTTCAAAAATTATACAGGGTGTCTCGTAATATGTGGGTCGCACTTTGAGAGATGATAGGGCGTTTCACGAAAATGAAAAAGTTCCTATAAGCCATAAACGAAAATCGTTAAAAGCCTCTTGGGCGAGATACAAGGCGTTAAAGTTGCAAAAATGTATAGATTTTTTTATGTCCACCCTGTATGGCTTATCGTTAGTGGTGAAATTTAATGGTTATACAGGAATCTGAACAGATGTCTTGAATGGACTATCAGACATCTACATCAAATTTTTCAGGAGTTGAATTTGATTATTCGGTTTTTCTCGAAATCAGTGTATCTTTACGAGTATATATTCGAATAAAATTTCGAGAAGCCATCGCCACCAATGTTTTTTCTGAAAAATCAAGAATCAATATTCCTTAACGGTGCCACTGGGAGTCAGATTGACTAAATAATGCTACCGATTCAATCACTCTCAGGTACTAAATTTGCCCGTATATATAGTCGTTTCCTCACGAACTCCTCAACCTCATGTCTTCCTTATCTGAGGATTCCTTGGGGACTCCGCAGTACTTGACGTTTAACTTGTTTTATAGACATCCCTTGAGTATTCCTTCTAAACGGAGCACTTACACTTGGCAACAGTGTATAATTTTAGTGTTCTGTGACCAAATTTGATATTTATATAAAGAAGAAGTCTTATCTTGATCGCAACAATATGTCCTTAAATTATTCACATCCAATTTTGAATCACCCTGTTAAAGTCGTCTCTCAAACTAACGGTTGCATTGATATGTTTGAATTTCTGGTATTTTAGGGTTCACACTCGTACTTCAATATACTATTATTGTAAAAACACTGTGTTGATATTCGATATGAAGTTTTGAAGTTATTCAAACATAATCATAGAAAAAACATCTCGGATTATAATGTCACATGTCACGTGTTTGTCACAAAATGGAAAAAGCAAACCCCATATTTGATACGATTATTCATACATTTCATTTCATACGCTAGAAGGCTGTAAATACATGATGAAGACACAACTAGCAAACCTGAATAAATAAACTACCAGAACTAAACACAAAGAAGAATGCTTGATTGAATGAAAATCCGAAAAAGTAAAGGAATTTATCGATATTCAACAGGGACCTGACAGTGACACAGTTTTGACACTTGATAATAATAATAATTCAATATAACCTATGTTATTGGAAAACAACCGAATAAGAGCTAAACAAATGACTTCTCCACAAAGGACGGCAAGTAAACCCCTCTGGTGGAGAATACACTGAACTGAGTGATTGGACAGTCATGTAGTACTTTGCCAGGGAGAGGAAGCATGTCCATTTGATTGAGTACTGCCAAGGAATCTGTGATTTTGTGTGGTCGTTAATTGAAAATATATGTTCATTTAACTTGATTATTTGGGATGTTCTCTCCTCGTTTATAGGCTCAAAACGTGTAGTAAACCTAAAGTGATGAACGGCAATATAACGTAAACGAAGACAAAACAACTCACCTTACTATTGTGGGACTTTGAACATAATTTTCTAACTTAGTATGGGAAAATTCTAAAGATATCACATTGAGGAGTTTGTCTTTCTCTGGATCTTCGTAATATTTTTGCCAATCTTTCATGGTCATCTCACTATTTTTTTGCGTATTCACGTCCATGACGTCTAAAATTCTTCGAGATCCGACACACATCCTGACGTCGTTTATTGTAAAATTTGATGTTGGTACCCTTAAACCTGGAATAAATAGGAAAAACGAGTTTAGTATTGACAAATCAACTCCTTCACGGAAAACGCTATTTGACGACGACGTGAGTCATTTTGACATCGATAAGAAAGGATGCTCTTTTTTATCGTTGATAAACTGCCTGCTCCTTTGATGTGGTAGCTATTTGCGCCTGATGTCACTACAATTTCTGTCCTGTCAAATTTGATTGATGGATATGGTTCACGCGTAAATGAGCAAAATGAGCCGTGTTAGGAAAATTTCGTCTGAAGAAACCACGAAAATATGAGAAAATCTATTCCGCAAACTACCAGTCACACGGAATCATCAACGAAGGTAATCATTATATTGTTGTTTATTTGCATATTGTCGTTGATTTATCTTGCCAGAAAACACTTGAATTTTTTTTTAATTTGTTGAATTTCCTTACTAACTCAAACATTTTCCATCAGTTATTTCTCTCGAATAACTGACATAAAACAAAATTGCTCGACCTACGGTCTCGCAATTTTTTCATGTCAGTTTTCCTCGTGAAATTACTGATCGGCAAATGTTTTTCGTTACTAAGAGAAATGAATGCGATAATAGAAAAGCTCTTGTGTTTTTACTATTGATAAAAAAATTTACATTTATAGCGCCAATTATGTTGGAAGCCAGAATGATGGATGCAGTGTGCGCAACTCTCCCGAGCCGCTCGTTTATTGTCTCAATCATGAAATACTCATACGAATAAAACTCGTGATACTATTTTTACTGGAAATATTCGACGATTGACATACTTCAGCTTGCTGCTTCAATTTCGCTCATGACATTGTTTCAAAACTTCTCGCCTACGGCTCGAAAGTTTTGATGAACAATGTCATTCGGCGAAATTATTAGACAACAAGCTGCCGTAACAATCGCCGAATATTTCCGGTGAAATAGTATCACTTGTGGTATTACATATGAGAAAGAAAAACGCGTGAGGATTTTGTGGGGATTATCAAAGTTAAAGGAGTGAAACTCGCGGATTTTGATACGGTCCTGGGGTTAAATTGAGCAGATTCGGCTGGCAACACGTCAACTCACCTAATCCAGTCTTTTCCTTGAATAGCAGCGGCGTGCTGAAGCCGTGCCTCTGGAAATAAGCGATGTTCAGCTCGTTTCCATGCATCTCCTTGACTATGGAGTGTGCCGCGAAGGCAGGATCCTCGAGCTTGTCCTGCAAGTTGAACGTGCGCTGGCCCTCGATGTCCTCCTCGTTCACAGACCAATCCTCCGAGTACAGCTTCCTTTGTTTGCGCTCTCTCTGCGAAAAGGACACATATACAGTGTGTGCGATTTCAACCCTCAACACCCTTCTTATTCGCAACCCGTCGACCGATTTTCAGGAACAAAAATTTCATAATATGCTACTCAACGAGCTCTATTCGAAAATGTTAACAAATTTGAAATATTCAGATTTTCAAGGCCTACTTTTGTTTGTTGAAGGGGTCAAAATTTCAAAAACGACTATTAGGCAATTTTTTTTCGAAACAGTGACTCTCCTATTCGATTCAAGCATAGCTGAAATACCTCTATACGAAATTTGAACGCAAAATCTCATATAGGGGGTGTTAGTTATTCAATGGCGACTTGTGATATCTTTGATTTTTCGATTCACCGTGTATCAAAATCTGAGGAGTTGATATAACCGGTAAAGTAGTTATTCAATACAGGAACACATCGAATATATAGGTACGAAGTTTCATCGCTGTAACTTCTACAGGAAGATCTCTCTAGATCAACCAAAAATCAACAAAACTAAAGTTGAGATTCACCATTCTGAAAACTCAAGTAAACCGTATTTCACACATTTCATCACACAGTTACTTTAAAAATCGTCTTGTTCGATAAAGAGCTGTCGAATATAACACAAATAGAATGACAGACAAATACTCTCTAAAGACTGCTAGGAGATATACTGATGTTTGATGTGATAATATACCGATTTTGGCGAAATGGAATGAAAATTTGAGATGACAATAAAAATTTTCATGTATAGAGAATAATTCCCCTGATTAGTCACCATTATTCATATTTCCTAGGAAACAGTTATTAATCATAATATAAAAAAATTTCGATTTCAATTTCATTAATTATTGGTTGACCTAGAGAGATCTTCCTGTAGAAGGTCCAGCGATAAAACTTCGTACCTGTGTATTCGATGTGTTCCTCTATTGAATAACTACTTTACTGATTGTATCAGCTCCTTAGATTTTGATACAGGGTGAATAGAAAAATCAAAAATATCAATAATATTGAATATTATTCGCCATTGAATAACTAACACCCTATATGAGATTTTGCGTTCAAATTTCGTATAGGGGTATATCAACTATGCCTGAATCGAATAGGCTAGTCACTATTTCGGAAAAAAATTGCCTAGTAGTCGTTTTTGAAATTTATACCCTTTCAACAAACAAAAGTAGGCCTTGAAAATCTGAATATTTCAAATTTGTCCACATTTTCGAATAGAGCTCGTTGAGTGCTATATTATAGAATTTCTGTTTTTGAAAATCGGTTGACAGGTCCAAAATTAGGAGGGTGTTGCGGGTTGAAATCGCACACACTGTATGTATAGAAAGGAGTTTCAAAATCTCTCGATATCGCCTAGGTACTTTTTAAAAATAGCGAGGCGTGGGAGAATCTTGCTGAATTTCCAAAGTTTCAAACCAAATTCACAGGCATCATGTTCTGGTTCCCACGAAAAGGGATATCCTGTAATGTTCAGAGAACATCGTGAGAACCAAGGGAAATAAGGTAGGAATTGGTGTTCTTCTTAAAGGACCCCGCACTTTTAGTACGTAAAATGGTTCTCGGTGAAATTTTCTGAATTTTCAGTATGTTGTAGAATTCGATGAACTGATTGAACCTGCAGAATCGTTAAGTTCTTCGATGAACAGATTCTGAGATACAGGGCGTTGAAGTTACAAATCGGTATTTTTCATTTAATTATTTTCTCGAAATTCAAAGATGCCAAGTACAATTTTCTTCGCTCATATCATTAACGAACCTCCATATTACTCAACATAATTCAAATGGTTCAGATGATGTAATTGTTTACAGAGTGAAACATATAAACATTTCAGTGATATCTGAAAATTCGATGTAATAATGAAATATCGAAAAAATAATTCGGGCATGCAATATACTATTCTCATTCCATCATGAATCACAATTCATACATTTCATACAGGGTGAATTGAAAAATTGGTGACACCTAAGATCGATTTATTAATACACATTCTGTATATTCGAGTGAATTGTTATCCTCCCAAGATAGCTGAAACCGTATGAACATGATTTCGTTGAGATATATAGGGTGATCATAAAGATTTTCGATGATGAAAATGACAAAAAATCGTGTTTTTTGAAATCACCCTGTTATTCATGATTAACTCGGTGAAATTCCCTAATTATTTTTTAATATATTCATCATTCGCTCTTTAACGCTGTCTTGAAAATTCAGTTTCCTATCATGACGGGTGTCATAGTTATTAATTCAGCAACTTACCATTTGCATGAAGAGTTGAAGAGACTTGTTCACTTACATTCGCATAGTGGCCGATATTTTTCACAAATAGTGAAACGAGAGAATGTGGAGACGAAATTAAGTTTAGTATTCATATACATTGTGAACATTCGAAATTCATAACAATAGCAGATATATGAATTTAATAATATTAATATAATGTACAGATAGTTAGGCGAATTTCGTTGGTATACAAGCTCTGCCAAAATGAAAAACGAACAATACCTAGGAGATGGGAGAATGATTCGGTCTCTCACGCTTCCATTTCTAATAGGGAAAGTTCATTCCTGGAATCGACAGATTTTTTCACATTTGTTTTCCACTCAGAATCAGGCGTTTCCATCATTTTCATATTACCAACGAAATTCGCCTAACTATCTGTACATTATATTAATATTATTAAATCCATATATCTGCTATTGTTATTGAATTTTTAATGTTCACCCTGTATATGAATCCTCAACTTATTTTCGTCTCCACATTCTCACGTTTCACTATTTGTGAAAAATATCGGCCACTATGCGAATGTAAGTGAACAAGTCTCTTCAACTCTTCATGCAAATGGTAAGTTCCTGAATTAATAACTATGACACCCGTCATGATAGGGAACTGAATTTTCAAGACAGCGTTGAGGAGCGAATGATGAATATATTAAAAAATAATTAGGGAATTTCACCGAGTTAATCATGAATAACAGGGTGATTTCAAAAAACACGATTTTTTGTCATTTTCATCATCGAAAATCTTTATGATCACCCTATATATCTCAACGAAATCATGTTCATACGGTTTCAGCTATCTTGGGAGGATAACAATTCACTCGAATATACAGAATGTGTATTAATAAATCGATCTTAGGTGTCACCAATTTTTCAAATCACCCTGTATGAAATGTATGAATTGTGATTCATGGTGGAATGAGAATAGTATATTGCATGCCCGAATTATTTTTTCGATATTTCATCATTACATCGAATTTTCAGACATCACTGAAATGTTTATATGTTTCACTCTGTAAACAATTACATCATCTGAACCATGTGAATTATGTTGAGTAATATGGAGGTTCGTTAATGATATGAGCGAAGAAAATTGTACTTGGCATCTTTTAATTTCGAGAAAATAATTAAATGAAAAATACCGATTTGTAACTTCAACGCCCTGTATCTCAGAATCTGTTCATCAAAGAACTTTACGATTCTGCAGGTTCAATCAATTCATCGAATTCTACAACATACTGAAAATTCAGAAAATTTCACCGAGAACCATTTTACGTACTAAAAGTGCGGGGTCCTTTCTGGAGGTTATATGCCGCGGGGAACACCTCTCTTGGTAATGTGTTCCAGAGCCTCGCTGTTCGTTGGATAAACGAGTCTTTGCGAATAGATGTTCTGCAGGTCTCCAAAGTGGTGCGAAGCCTCAACTCGATTTCACATTTTCATTTTCACATTTTTTTGTGTAAATCGAAACGGTGCGTTATATTCTCGACTTTTAGTGGTGAATTCATGAACACGAAGTCCTAACTCAAGAAATTTCTGTGATAATAGTTTATTTACTCACTATTGGTACATAAAATAAAGCGAATGTTCGGATTGCGAAATGTTTCCGCAGGGATTATTTGTTGCGCCCTGTCTCTAGATGATTCTATTCAGCTATTATTGAATTTGTGTGTCATCAACGAAATTCTTCGGGTCCTCACAGAATTAAAACACATCCTTGAAAGTCTAGTTCACCTTTATGATAAGAATCTAAACGCATTTTGAAATATTTCAACAAAGTGTCCGTCGTTCACGACATCTATCATCGGATATGAGAACCTCACGTTCCGAACTCGCATGCAATTGTTCATATCGAGAGTTAGTCTGACGAAACAATTGAAGAGTGGGCACACCAAAGGAATTATAAACATCTCAAAGGGCACCTAAGTAATATTCTTTCAATCTGAACTAACTGAAATATTTCACTAGAACCATCTAGAACTGAACTGAATCGTTCTTTCGAATGACGTTCATCATGTACAATGCATGTCAACGGATTCAGTTCAGTTCAAGTGAGATGTGTCAGTTAGTTCAGAATGAAAGAATATCACTAATGACAACCTCAATAAGTTGAGTCGGTGAGCAGTCACGCGTCTGGATTTTGTGGGACCCCAGGCGCAAGAACGGATCCAGCCAAAGATCTAATGATATTCATTTTACTTGATTTTTAGGATTTTCTCTCCTCGTTTCTATAATATGATGAAAATATGCGTATCATTTCAATATATTTGTAGTGGGACAAATCAGATGATTTGCCCCAAAATGTCACTGCGTTTAACAAATTTTTCTATCAGGGAGCCTAAAAGAAAAATCCAGTAGCTTGTCAGTGACAATTGCAAACCCCAAGTGTTTTCAATGACTGATGTGGTTCGCTCAAGAGAGCTGGCTAACATCCTTTTTCAGGCACCGCCCATTAGCTCTCTTTCAGAGTTTTTCGGCTGTTTTGTAGGCTAGTAATGTACTCACTACCATAATGCGCAGTGGCAGGCCTGCTAGCTATCCTCGTTAACCCCCGTTAGAGACTGGGGTCTACTTAAGCAGCTGGCCCGCTAGCTGCTAGTTTTTCCACACCCACCTACATACACCGTCCTACTTCTTCTCTGATGCTCACAACAGTCACAACCACATCATCATCTCTTTCTGCGTGTTAGGCTGTGTTACTAACTCCATGCGCCACTTTAGGAGCAGCACTGTTAA